TTTAGGGGGGGCTTTAGCCTCCCTAAAATGTTTTTAGCCCCCCCCCCCAAATGTGTATTATTTGGCTTAAGTCATGAAGAACTTTTTATATTAAATATAATAATATTGTATACAATGCTACTGTAATCAGTCTAAACGTAACATCGCTTCTCCAAATGCACACTGCTGGCTATGTTTAGGACTTGGGGGAAGGAGGTTCACTAAACTAATATTTCAAGAGGTTTCTGGAAACACACAACTGCTGTGCTAAAAAGTCATGAACCCCCCTAGTAATGTTCCTATCCATTCATCTTTAACTACGCCCTTGACAATCACTATTGACCAACATTATATTTTGATTAAACATGACTAATCACACATTAAATAACTTATATGGGACATAGATTTTAATATTTTTACTAGGAGTAGTGATTTAGAAAAAATTGCCGTTTTGCCAATGCCATGTTTTTCCCACGTGCTAATTTTTGCCTCAGTATTGTCACTTTGGTGATGCTTCTCTTCACTTCTCTCATACCTTGTACGTTATTCCTTCACTTGCTTTGTAACATGTACATGCCCGTACCTACTACTGATTATACCAACGTCAAGTCCTCAGTATTTTTTCTGCAATATCCATGATCCCTTACGGGGCACCTAGGAAGGGCTAACACGTCTCACCTCGGTATTATAACAACCCTGCCTATGGCCCTGAACATCTATATAGTCTAATCACAAAACGACCTTCATGAAAGCGGTTTTATAAATTAATACAGTATATAATTTATTTATATATTAATACTGAAAAGGTGGTAACTCACCTGAAATGTTTAGGAAAAATAAGACACACCGCAGCATCATGACCGAAGCCATCAAAGCCATCGTGTAAAACAGGAAGTGGTATCATGTCAAAAGTCTTTCTGATGGTGTTATAAAGATGTTAAGAATTATAATTTGCAAGAATCCATTATCCCACATACAAAGTAAAAAGGAACAAAAAATGTGAAAAATACGTAATTTACAGGTTTTCCCGACAGCTTTTGTTCGACGCTCTCTTGTGCACGTCTTTCGTTTACTTTCACTTTAATGAACATGCATGCCACAAAGGAAACGTATTTTTGACATGGCAGCGCCATTTTGCTTTTAAAGGTCTGATATGAGCCCTAACACTTTCCTCCATCTTCTGTAAAGCTTTACCTACTTAAATAAATAAAGCAAACCCTGGTCAGGACTATGAGAGGGTCTATCCCAGGATGCACTGGGAACAAGGCAGAGGATGCTCAGGATGGGACGCCAGTACTGGTGTAATTGGAGTGATTTTGCCACAGCTATTTGATGTGTAGAATAGCAGCAATACCTTGTCAATCACTGAAATGAGCAATATTATTGTCCTCTCTCCCATAAAAACAAAATGCTGTGGCATTGCCGAGCTGGTTCCGTACTTTCAGAGTGTCCTCACCAGCTCCATCACAGAGATATTAGCCACAGTTCCCGCCTCCAAAGTGTCAAAATTCATCCTGTCGAGCGAGCGAGTGCTGTGCAGACGCGAGCGCGTAGAGCGCGTAGAGAGGATGGGTCTTCAGCTCGCAAGCGCACACACACACGTGGTTATTATGCATGCGAGTTTTGGCACTAAATAAATGCCATACAGAGTCATTAGGAGGTCGTAGCATATCAGGGACGATACACACCCCCAGCACAGCCTGTTCACGCTTCTACCCTCAGGAAAGTCCCGGACATCAAGACTGTTAAACGGTTTCTACGCTCAAGCAATCAGACTTATGAACGACCTTGCACTATAAACAACACCAACCACTTCTACCTATGAAAACGCACAGAAACACCTTACAAGTTTATATTACTGCTGCTGCCTGTAGGCTTTGTTACGTATTTATGTTAATTTATATTCTTATTCTACTTTCTGTGTGCAAAGTAAGAATTTCATTGTACAGCAAAGCTGTTTGTTTTCTGTGCATGTGACAGAGAATTCAAAAACACTAGTAAGAATCAGGCCCGGCGCCAGCGGAAAACAAGTTGGGGGGCAATTGAAATGCAGAGAGGTGGCGGCGATTTAACTCCCAAAATATGCACATTGTACGATTGTTAGTTCTACATGATAACTGTTTGATCACACACACAAACACGCTACTGTTTAACAAACCCTGAATGCACGTTCCAAACACCATGGCACAGCAGCGATGTTTAACATTTTTCAGAACTGTACTATAAGCCCGGCCAAGCTTTTCATTCTGTCTCAAAGTGTAATTAAACAAAGACAGAAAAAGTCCACTTCCCGCTTGATCTCGGTTATCAACCGAATCGATGGATCCCCTCAATGGCAATTTTTTTGAGACAAGGAATTCAATAACGTCTACAATGGCAGAGACATACAGGTGGGTTTGAGAGAGCTGATCGGAATTAACCAGAGTTGGAATCTCACTGCCTGTAGATCATCGCAACTGTCTCTCTTTCCAAAAAGCCACTCATGTTTGATGTTCTTTACTATTGGCATGTGTCTGTAGCATGTTTCCAGTTGCTAAAACCCAAAGTTTTTTGAATGCGGAATCGCTCCCTCCATATTTTCAACATGGAAAACAAAACGCAGAGTCTGCTTCAACAGAATATTCCAGCCAATCTTGCCCTTTGTACCAAGTGGATAAAAATGACCTAAGACAACCGTTTTTGAACTGCTGTTTCTTCGGGAATTGCTTAAGAAATGGCTGAGCTGGCCTGTCGTTGCCAAGATCTCCTGGCTGAATGCTAACCAAAGTCGTTTTCTCTGTCGGCATTCCTATGTTGTCCTGACTGGCTGTTTTGTCAGTGCCGGTTGATCCACAATCCTCTATTGTTCGTTTTTTCCCCCAAACATTTTCTGATATCCATTTTGTCCATTTTCTGTTAGTTTGCTCCCTCTCATCCAATTGACCAATCAAGTGCCTGGATTTGAAAATCTAGTCTAGAACGTACTGATACGTATGTAAAATGTAGACTTTATTTTTTAGCTAAATATAGTTGTCTAACTTATATATTAGTCTTTTGAAATTAAAATAAATAAAATAAAAAAAAAAAAGTTCAATTATATATTAGTCTTTTGAAATTAAAATAAATATATATATATATATTTTTAAAGTTCAATTAGGGCTTATTTTAACAGAGGGGGTGGCATTAACCCTCTGAGGGGGCTATGCCCCCTTTCGCCCCCCCCCCGTGCCGCTGGGCTTGGTAAGAATGTGAGAGGTGGCATTTTGTTGGTGCTGACTAATATATCTTGGCAATCGCAGTGTTTTGAGAATCTGCACAACAAATACAGACCAAGGTTTAGTGAGTTAGGGGAGCACCCCACATACTACTGTTCTGGTAAGACAATCGAGTCATGGGAGAGAACATCTTTTTAAAAGGGAAATATTGTGGATGAACCAGGTATAAAAACATGGGTGCTGTGGGGGTACGTTGGCAATTTAAAGAGGCCTACAATACGCAACAGAATGGCGCCGTGCATTGTAATCTCTGCCGAAAACTCGCGTTAACTAAAACTGGAACTGGAAATACTGTGAATTTAGTTCACCACTCGAAGCATCACCATCCAGAACATGTAGAATGCAAACACTTACAGTTACAGACAACAGCAATTAGTGTTACAACTTTGACTCGCATTGGACCCAACACTTTATCAATTTGAAGTGGGGGATGGAACCAGAGGGAGGTGGAAACACCAGACCAGATGCCTGCACTGCAGCGGCCTGTGAAGCTTCCCATCATCAGCCCAAAGCAGCTTGAGCAGACCCAGGCTGTGGCCCCTCCTTGGCCTGTCTGCTAGACTGGCTCCACACTGGCAGGAAACTGGAGTTGCAGGACGTCCCTTGGCCCAGCCTCAAGGGTGTACTGCTCCCAGTAGGACAGCCTGGCCCTCGGAGAGGGGTTGCTATGTCAGCACTGGCAGGATGGTGTTACTGGGGCAGCTGCTGGTTCCAGAGTCGATTACAAGAGCGGTACTGAGGTGTGTGCATGCCCTGCCAGGGACTTCGGGGCACTAAGACCCTGCGGAGACTCCAGCAGGTTCTACTGGCCAGGCTGAAATACCACCCACCAGCACCCAGGCTTCCCCCAGCGGCCTGATTTCCCCAGCGCCTACCAGTGGCCGGCTTCTCCTAGCGGCCTGACTTCCCCAGCGCCTGCCAGTGGCCGGCTTCTCCTAGTAACCACCAGGACCTCGGCACCTGTTTGC